AGGAAACTTTATTTACAATTGTCAATGCTCTGTGACGATTTTATACATTCTTACACTATGGCTTAGTTTAAGCACTCAGCCATTGGCCTAAAGTGAGGGCGCAGAACTCATGAGCTTCTGTCGTGTGTCGTAAATGATTTACTTGTACAGTGTGAGCTGATGTTCCACCATGACATTTATATGTACAGTATATTTCAGGCCTAATGGGTGCATGTTAAAGTTCACCAGCTTGTCAATTCAACTAGATAGCGTTTCCTCCCTGTATCCAGTGGTAATGTTATTCTAGGGTTATAAAATCCTGGCAAGTCTCTACATACATTTCTGGCCTAGCCTCTGACACTGGGCAACAAGACGACCAATATAAATGGGCATATTGATATCGGTCTCTACATGTAATGCTAAATAGGTTAAGCAGTGGATGTGCATTGTATCTGCTTGACAAATATTTTTTCTGGCATGACCGATACAAATACTGCAAAACGCACGAAGCCATTTGTCAGCCTGCTGTGCAGAGAGAATAACCCAGCTTGCCTCATCTGTTATTCAGCAAATGTATTTTCCACATTATTTATCAAATAATTCCTCGTTCAAACAAACTCCCCAACCACAAATCTAGCGTGACAAATGAGTGGACTCCATTAAAATATGTCCATTCAATTCTTTGTTTTCTAAGTCCATCCGTGATGATTTTGCAAACAAATATTGTGCTGGAAACCCAGCCAAGGAAAAAATGGAAAAAAAAATAAACACATGAGGTTCCTTTTACATCCATCTAACCATTGATTTTTTTTTTTTACAATTTATCAGCCTGTTAGGGAATCTTTTGACTCAATATTTAAGTATCAAGTCCTTCCTATTCATCTGCCAGTTATAGGACATTAACATTATTATACATCATTCAACAACAGAGCAACGCTGCAGGAAGGCAGTTTGCTAGGCTGTCTAAGATAGACAACTGCAAGCATATAAAGGTTAGGTGAAGATATATTAGTTAAACATTGCACACTGTTCTACATTACTAAGCTGCCTTGCGTACTTTTCCTATTATAGGGCTTCTGGGTGGCATTTTGTTAAGTGTGTATGTTTGTCTGTGCACAACCAGTTCCAAGCTACTGTTGCCATTGTTTTCAGAGGAGGTGTATCTGGAAATCTGTATGTATACCATCCTTCATGTGCCTGGCTGCTTTGGCACAAACAAACACGTTCACACTCTGTGATAAGAGAGGATGAGCTTAGAAACAAGCGGTTTACACGGCGGGAGGAGTATGTGTGGTTTTGTTCACATACCTCTATGGGAGCTCTTTATTCTCGGACGTCTATGAATTTCATGACAGTCTCCTTCGAGTTTGTCCTTGTAGTGATCCCTCTATATCAAGATGTGCACAAGTATCATGTCAGAGTGTGTAAGACAAGATGTAAAACTGTTTTTTTTTTTTTGCCCTTTACTCAGTTGCTGTGCGCAAATCTGCTTTGTTTGCTTTAGTTCGGGAATTCTCCTCACGCAAACTCCTTCCAAGGTCAGGCCTCCCCCGTCCTCTCCTGCTTCTCATTTCTCAGGCTGCCTCCCACCGCCCTTGCCTGCAACGGCATCATCAGCACTGGCACGGACTCTGACGAAAGCGGAGCACAACTTCCTGTCTTTTCCATAGTTTGTTTGATACACTCCATTTCTCCTCGGCTGTTTCTTCATTCCAGATGGGGGGGGGGGGGATAGGTCAGTTTTCACTGAGCACACCAAACTTCATCTGGCTCTCATCAGGGCAAGCAAGTGTTTTTGCATGGACTATTGTTCAACAGACATCTTTCATCATCTCCTTTTAAGTTTGTTTATGTAACTCTGTCAGACGAAAAATTACCCTAATATTTATATTCTATTGCTCTGGAGATTTATAGCGTGTCTGTGGCACTGACGGATGACTGTTCTCTTTGGTATCCATTATAACATAACCATATATCTCCAGAAGAAACTATAATATTCAGTTTTGAAGCCATGATGGATTTATTTAATATTCTTAAGCTTCAAAAGCATGCTCATCAGCCTATACATGATGTTTACTTTAAATGAACTTTTAGTGTGATATTGTCTTCACAGCACCTTTTTTTCCCTGCGTTTAAGATTTTATTATTTTGTCCTTGTTAACAGTGCCCCATGTATTTGACCTGTCATCAGAATACAATAGATGTGCTACCCAGTAAGCCTGGGCATTTACAGTAACTTAAATTCTAAAGTACTCTCATTACGTTATGAATGAGTAATCGCTGATTATATATTTTTTCCCGTGAAAAACAAAAACCCCATCGGACCCGGGCCTCCTAATGGCCCACTGTGTTTTCTGCGAAGTGTTGCCCATCCGTGCTGTGTGTCTGTAGGACAGCGCTCTTCAAATCCCAGTTCTGAATGACACATGATGGTAACATATGACTCCGTGGTGAGAGCTGTCCACAATTCTGCTGCATCCTTTCAAATCTCATAGCTGTTGTTAGACATGACGGTGGCTTGTACTCCTGCTCAACAAACGCCATGTGCTTGCTGAAGCCTTCTCCTTCAACTAAACTCAATGGGAGCATATCTCCAGTTTTTGCCAGTGTTTTTTATTTAATAGCTTGTCTGGACATAGGGCTCATCTCCAACATAATTACTTGATATGACATGTGCGTCCTATACCTTTTATTGTCTAGAGTAGATAAGCCATGTTTTAACCTGTCTGTCATTTGTGACAGGTGTTTGTATGAGTTTATATGTCTACTGATTAGTTCTGGTCGGACAGTATTGTTAACACACAACTAATACAGAGATGTATACAATGTACAGAGCTAACCAATAAATGGTCTATTCATCTGAAAGAAAAAGGGAAGGCTATGGCTCAGTTGGTAGAGTCGTTCGTCTCTGCACCGGATGGATGCGGGTTCGATCTGCTTCTGCAGCCACAAGCTCAAGTCCATTTACCATGGTAAATGGTAGTGGAAATATTGAGGAAGAGACAATGGTTTGCACTGTTTAAACTTAAATGAATGACTGCCACATGTCTACTTCACCATTAACAGTTTAACTTGACTACCTTGCTCAAACTGACCCCTAGTGGATACACAGATAATGTGTTTGAATTCTCTCAGTCTTGGTCCTGTCACTCAAACTTGAGCCACATTTGTCCTTTGAAGAGAACCAAACTTTTGGAAATTCTAGTACCAAACGGTTTTGAGTAGTACAACATTTTGTGCTATACCTTGCAACAGTAATACAAGCTCAAGTCTATTTACCATTAAAAAAAAAACGGGGCTTAAACAACAACAGGAAGAAAGTTAGCCGTCTCCATATGACTGTAACAAAATTCACATAACAACTATTAAAGATTACTTTGGCAACTCATGATGTAGTGTGTATAATCAGACAAACGTCTATTCGTGGTAAACAAGTATCCTGAATAGCCAATTATCTTCTGTGGTCATTTTTCTTGCTCTGGCAAACAGATTTTACATTTGTGTTCTGACGTTTGCATATCTTTTTTCTGTTCATGCAGATGTGGTCTTCCCGTTTGCAAAGTGTTTTGCTATGTTGTGGTCTGACACCTCCTAACCATGGTCCTTTAGTATATAAGAGCTTACCCCATGTTGGGAATGATATTTTTTGATTGGATTTTGATAACTCAGGTTTTCTCTGTTTAGTGCTCCGAAAGTGTTTCTTTTTTAATGTTAATGTGTTATTTCATAAATATTCTAGTGGATTCTTCTTGACCTGCCTTCTTGTGGTGGCCATTACTGAACATTACACAGCTGCTGATGTGATTTGTCTGGTCCCTGGTACTACCAGATACTGTTAGCTCTGTGTCCCTCAGCTGGTGTAAATGGCATTTCTGTACTGTTCTGTTAACTGTTTACCCATTTACCTTGTCTCTGTAGGCAGCAAGCCATCTGTCAGCTCTGAGCATGTGTGTGTATATGCACAGTGTGTGTGTGTGTGTGTGTGTGTGTGTGTGTAATCTTGTTTCGTGCTACTTTGGTGTAACAAACCAGAAAGGACTCGTACTGGGACACCTCTCGTTTTACACATCCATTAAGGGAGTTTCTTGCACTTAAGGTGACCAACAGGATTGCACATACACACTAACACACACATACACAATCCCACATGTGTTGGGGATTTGTCAGAAAGACAGACTTGGACTTGGTGCGAGGAGGGAATTCCTTCATCTGCACGCCTCTTCAGGCTGCACATGTGCTCAGCATCTGCTCCATACACACACGCACACAGGGAGAGAGAGTTGGAGAAGAGATAACGATAAACACTGATCAAGAAAAACATTTTTTTTATTCGAGCATTCAACAATTGCTCTTCCTTCTAAGCACTGTCCTTCTAACCTCCCATCAGAGCCTGAGAGAGGCTTTAAAGAGTTGCTGGAGAGGCTGTTAAGTGTTTGTGCTGTCTCAAGGTTTACAAGGAAGACTCATCTGATACTGCTCTTTTATGTACAGTGGATGCCACATCCTTCTCTCAATGACGAGTGATTCAGCCACCCTTGACGTCTCAGAGGGGATGCACATATGCCGCTTGCACCTTTGAAGGTTGACTGTGTGAAGGTGCATGTGAATATATGCATGTGTTCTTCAGGTCCACAAACATTGCGTGTGTGCGGTGTTCCATATACAAGAACAAACACATGCAGCTTAGTGTTTTTCTTACTTTCTGCTCTGTTTGTTTCAGCCCAATAAGCATTGGAATGAAAGCATATTGTTTGCCAGAACACATGTAGTGCAGTTGTCTTGAATGGCAAGAATGTAAATGTGATTCGGGACATTAGAGGATTAATTATAACTTGCCCTGAGAGAGTGGGAGAGCATGTAATACATGCAATATATAATTGGCTACATAAATTTCCCTTACATTTTCTGTGTTCTTATTCCCTGAGCAGGTTCTGCAGAAAGCAAAGCTGTAGTAGCAATTAAAGGGTTTGTTGTTGTTGCTTGATTTAAACATGTTATCTCTTTCTCTCCATATGTTGCAGGATGTTGGAGTACTCACTCAACCTGCAGAATGTCAGTTTTTCTGCAGTGAGGACGGTTCGTGTGCTGAGACCTCTGAGAGCCATCAACAGAGTGCCTAGTAAGTTAACAGTCAGACCTTAATGGAACTTTCACTCTTCGCCTCCCTCATCAGACTCTCATATCATCCTTTAATACCTCAACGCTTTGGCTGCCTCTGGAGACAAGTGAACTTATTTGATCTCAAACTTAAGAACAGACTGTAAAGAAGCCAACACCAGATGCTACTTTTTCCTACAATATTGGCTATGTGTTAATCTGATAGTGTGATTGGTTTATACGTTTATCTTAAGCTTGTCTCCACAACAAATCCATATGTTTGTCTTGTAAGACTAAATCCTGATCAAAGTTGGAGTTTCAAGATTCACACATCTTAAAAACCCAACGCTGTTCCGAGACCTACCAGTATGAGAATGCTGTGGAAACTAAAAATAGTACATATGGGAAAAAAAACAATTCCCATGTTCAAATAAAGATTTGAGGTTTGATGTTTCAACAATGCTATGTCTGGATCATAAAAATGGATAAAAGGCAAAACCATTATAGAGTCATTTTGTAAGTAGTTTAAAACCGTCATTGGCTCTAAATATTTAAATTACTTTGGATAGAAGATCAAAGAAGTTCAAAGAGTGGGTGCAACACTATACATATAGCAGGGCCTTTGTCTAAAATACATTTTTATCTGAAGCAGAATATTCATTACATAATGTGAGGATGTATCTGGTGTTTGAACATTTGGTAGTGTACAGTCTCTGACATACAGTCTATCCAGAGCAGCCTGAATATTTTGGTGTGTAAAGCTTTGTAGATTTGTTTTTCCTGTTGGAAGTTTCTTGTGAATTTGCTCCAAACCTAGGTTGTAACTGTTGTTAAGCAGTGCTTGCAAACAGCTACTGTAGCTGTCCTTAAAGTTGACTAAATAACCAGGATGAACTGAATTTCCCATAGTTAAACACAACACATTTCTGTGCTCACACTGCAGCTGCATCAACACCTCCGACCGTAAGGCACAGTCATCTAATGTTTCATTCAACACTAAACAGTAAGCAGACTTTAGCAATTTAGCTTAACCTAGCATAAGTCTGGAAAATCTTAGCAGCCTCTGTTGAAAGGAAGTCAAATCCACTCACCAGCAACTGTAAACTGTTAACTCATTGTTTTAACTTCAAGATAAAAACAACAACAACACATGTAAAAAAGACAAATTTGTAGCAGCACCCAACCAAGAAATAGTCTCTGGCCAGCCGGTTGATAAATCTAAAGAGCTTAACCTTATCCGACACTGCAAACCTTTTGCGACAGCACATATGGATATGCAGTTCTGAAGAAACTGGTCTACTATTGCATCCGGATTTTGCACTATTGCACCAACAGGTACCACCTCATGCTACCACTAGAGAGAAGGAACTAGGAGAACAAAAAACTAAAGAAGAATCAGTTTTCCCTGACTTGCAAAACCATTCCCCTTTTTGGGGGCTGTCTTGCATTTGCCTCTCCATTGCATCTGTTGTCACTTCCATTCACACCAAAGCTGCTGAAATTGATTCACTTGTGCTTCCTTCAATAGATTGATATCCCTGAAGTTTAACGGACTTGGTGTTACTCTGTGATGATGGAATGTTCCTTTTTTTTTAGCAGTATATTGGACTTCTGCTCCTCTGTTAGGGTACTTGATATAATTGGTGATCATGCAGGTGGACTCAATTGCTACACAGCACTGGAATGTAGTTCAGGGCCAAGCCTTCCTATACTTAGTCTGCTGCCTTCACTTTGTCTCAGTGTTATGGCTTTCCCGAGCCAACCATCTTTGGAACAGACTGATTTATATGCAATTTTCCAATTCACTGCCTTTTATTAAAGGGCTGGATTTCATAGCTACACTCACAAACAAACACTATCATGCTTGTATATTGCAAACACACAAAACAGTGAGTTGCTAGTTCTTTTGTTCATCCTCCCACCTCCCATTCTTTACACTAACAAATTATCCCAGCACCCCACTCATATTATTTTCCCCTCTCCCTTTCAGATGCTACCAGAGTTTAATCGGCATTGATTGAATTACACTGAACACATTTATGTTAAACTAAATCATAGGCACTTTATACCATCCAAAGGCCCCCCTCTGCTCGTTTGTTCTTACATTGTTCCCACCCTTTGCAAAGCTTTCATTTAAGCACAGACCTTAATTGTGTCATTAGCCCCTCAATTGCTCAGAGGAGATTGCAGGAAAACTAAGAATGAACAAGGTGTGTGTTTGTGTGTGTGTATCTTTACTCAAGTGTTTAGCTAATGTAGGTGTATGAATGGAACGTCAACCCCCTTCCTAGCTCTCCCATCCCTCTGTCAAAGGCACTTCCAAACCTCTTCTGAAATCACTCCCTCTTGTCAATCATAGCCGTGGTAGGGATCCACCACTGCTCATTAGGCGACATGTACAGAAGCTCAGAGCGCGCACAGTACGCTCATTAAGCATCCAAGCATTCCTCTTCCGAATCACAGGACTAATAGCAGCATTAATGTGTGAATGATTTGGTCTGGATCTCGCCCTGCAGGGAAAATGTCAGGCGGTAGAGAATTAGTGGTGGTGTTACTAGGTTAGGGTTCTCTGAGCCTTTTGGATTGGCTGATATCTGCCTTCTAACTCTCCCTCATCGTTGGCCCATTCCAGTCCAGCAGAGAAGCATGCAACATCTAGAAAGTTTCTGGTAGAGTTGACACAATACCAAAATTATGACTTAGATACAATACCTGCCCAAAATATCTCGATACCAATACTGAAACAAAACCATGGCAAATAACCTAAAAGTGATGATATAATATAAAAAGCATTAGTCCAGACATGACAGAATAAAGGGCTTTGTAAATCGACAACAGATGATAGGTGTTTTCACTACGATTGAGCATTTTTATCACCAATTTATAAACATTATTATTGTAGCAATTAACTTTACTGCTCTGTTCAGTCTTTTCGCATCTTTTGAGTCTTTGTCATACTGTTCGTTGTTTTCCTCATGCAGCTGGAGGGGAAGGCTGTCTCAACTGGGTGCTTGCTGATTTTGGTAGCAATCGTTTTGTGTGCCTTGTGGTGTGGGAGGGATATATAAATGATGCTAATGTTGGTTTAAATAGTTTAATGATTCAGTTTGATAGCCTATAAAAACAATACACAGAAATGACAGCAACTCTGGCAGTTCTGTATTCTAAAAGCTCAAACCCAGGATTATTAGCCTGCACTACAGCGGGGCACTTAAGTAGATGGACATCTACAAACTACACCTCCTTAAAAACGGAGGTCTCCTCTATCTTTGTACTTATAAGGGCATTTCATTATTTCATTTGTGACATTCGCTAACCAACCTGTCACTCTTTGAATTCCTTGAACAAGTCAGCATGTCTGTTGGAGAGATGCTTTGCCAAATTAGACGTGTTGGCTCCACTGGTCTGCGTGGGTGTAAAACATCTATTACACACAGGCTTTGTGGTGTCTGGGGGTTTACCCTGACTGTCGTCGATGTAAGCGAAATAATGCTGTTTTCGCTCCGTGCATCATGCTTTGTCAACAAGCTGTGGACGAGTCTGCAAAACTAGCATCTGAAACGTTAGCAGCCATGGCTCTCGTTCCGCTTCTCACCATGAAAGAAAGCAAATGCTGGACTTGCCCACAATGCCTCGGTGGGAGTGGCACCAGAGCTTGGAAAAGCACACACACAAACCCCCTCATCTGCAGTGAAGTTAAAAGTTAAAACCTGGTTCACAGTTGTATCAATGCAGAGACAATGACTTAGGCTATATATATTAAGTAACATTGACAGTTCCCAATGTCAAATGTTATGAATCATTCTGCGTTTGTAAAAACTGTGGAGTTTATCTGTGCTTTTAAAGAATAGACTCTAGAATCATATATATTTCATTTTTTTACCTTCTTGTAGTTCTTAAGGAGGCATCATTGCTTTGATCTCACTGCTGTGACATACAGTCCTGTGGACATTTTCAGCAGCAGCAAAATGTTGGCGTTAATCGTGGTGCTTTATTTGGCTATTCAGCATGAAGAGATTGGCTTGGACTTGCATGAGGGAAAAATAAAAATTAGGAAACATGACGGTCTGCTATCCAAGGCAAGCTGCATTTTGGAACAGCGTGTCTGATTTTTGGTTACACAGTTTATAAATTGACAATATGCTACCTCTAATGTAAGACAATGCAGCAGTTCAGACTGTGGTCTAAAACCTCTGACCCGTCCAGTGGTCCATGTCGAGTAAGAGGTCAACCAGGAAATGATCTCATTAAATCAGCACAGAGAGGAAAAAAGCTAAATGAAATGGGTAGATTAAGACTGAAAAAGAGAAAAGGGATTGCAGACCAGGTCACTGAGACACATTGAGGAAAAAGCGACTTCTGACCACTCAAATGCCTCTTTATCTTACTGATTTATTGGTTGAACGCCCCCCTTTACTAACTGAATTTACTGTGATATAAAAGCATCTGATCTACAGTATGTCATACAGTAGTTACTGCGTAAATAAAAACACATTTAAAACACTTGAGAGCAGACAAATAAAACAGGTTGTCGGAATGAATAGATAAACTGTGTGGAACAGCTCTTCATAATTCTCCTTCAACAAGGAGCTGTCAGATTCACCCATCATTTTTCTATGAGAGTAATGACATGTCATAAATTTGGTTTTATTGAGGGAGTGATATTTTTTTGTCACTGTGTACACTGAAACAAAACTGTATTCAAAGTGTGAGTGCAGCCCAGTAAATCATAACATGACACAGTCTAGATATGAGGTACATTTCAAACTGGGATGAAAACAGAGTCAGGACTGATATAAAGCTTAAGATGCAGACAGTGCTGCATACCTTAGCTGACTCACTGTCGATGCAATAGCTCATACGAGCTTGCTCAACAGGGTTCATTCAATCTGTCAGTACACGGCAGTATAAACTTCAAATCTTCTCGCTGATATTTGTGCACTGCTCAAATAGGACCTTCAGATGTTTGAAGTGTGAGTGCTCCATCTGCCTCACTTTCTAGAGGCCAACATGGATCCTTTC